GTTTTCTGCAACAGAAAGCCACAAAGCCTCTATTGCGAGGGCTTTGGTCCGGACCTTCAGGCTTGTCCTCCGAGTGGATGACGCAGAAGAGGGCCGGGATTCGGCCTTCTACCAGCCACTGGTAGAGGTGGGCGGAGTTCTTCACTTTACGAGAAAACGCCCCCGTCTACCAGCGAAAAGGCCAGTATAAACTGCCAGACTCCCACCAAAGTCCTCCCAGTAGTCAGTACAGAAAGGAGCACCGCTGACGAGCGGGTGGGCGCCGCGGAGTTCATCCGCCGCGGATGAACTTGTTAACACTCCTTCACGGGCTTCACTCCTAAACGTAAATCCTGATACCAAACCCTCTGGATCACCACAATTCCTGGCGATCACACGTAGAGCCGTCTCTAACCCAGCGACAGGCAAAGGCCCTACCTCACCCAGATCTTGAGGATCACAGCCTGGTAAAACAGGCAAAGGTGGCAAGGCCATGCCGACCGGATGGTCATTTAATACTAACACCACCCTAGGCGGGATCCAATTCACACGCTGTAACAACAATTCCCGTCCACTCAAGTCCGTTTCAAACGGACGGTTGGCGAATAGGAATCTCAGCACGCCTCCACAGGCTTCATACTCCGCCCTGGTCACGTGCAACATCACAATCTTGTCAAATCCTCAGCATGCAATGAAACCTGTCGGATATGATTCTCATAAGACCATCTATCAACATCCGGCAGTATAGCTCTCCACTCCAATGCTAAGTTAGGTTCAGTATTGCCCATAATGGCGGTCAGACAGTTCAAACTCGCGCCAACCCAAAGGTAAGCGCTGCTCGTTTCTCCAACCAAGCCAAATCGTCTAACAACCGTCTCAGCCGCCAGCTTCGATTCGCCAGTTGACGGCACTCTCTCAGCCACAACTCCAGCCTCAATCGGAGGACGAAGATTGTAGCGTGAGACAATCGCCGAGATGTGACCCACATCTGCACCAGTCTCGACACCGAGAGTCGCAGCAGACTGGACCACATTACATAGCCCTCAACTGACCGACCTAACCCTATGTTAACAAATTTATCACTCACCACAACATAGTCTCTATACCCCACCATGTCCCCCAGGGCATCAGTATTAGGCACACTACCTAGAATGTGAATAGCCCTCGACACCTCCCATAGTTGAACATTCGGCTCCCTGAACTCGCCGTTATAATTACGACTATCCAGTATGCGGCCAACAAAAGTACTCAGGCTAGGAACGCTCGAGTCATCCACGGGATCCCCGATAGATGGAATACTGTCCAAAGTAGATAGAGACATTGCTGTAACAAGCGAAAACCCTAAAGCCCTAGTAGACCGAGATAGCAGACTGCTACTAGCAGTCCTACACGGCACTCCGAGGTTACACTAAACTCCTAAACCCAACATACCACACCCTTCTCAAGGAAACTCTCCAACACTCTCACTTCGGAAGTAAGATGTGTTCACTAGCGTTTTTCATATTACTTGTGAAACTCCACTGTGATTCTCTCCGGCTTTTTGCGAGTCTGCTTGATTTGCTTGAGTTTTATTATCACGCGAGTTGTAGCCATCACCCCAAATCCCATCTCCAACGTGAAAGTCTTCGCCGCTATCTAAGTAATCAAATGAAAGTCAGCGCTGATCTTTTGGCCACCCATCTAGCTCGTCCGAGCTCCAATCGTTACCGCATTCAGGGAGCAGGCGATCACTATGTCGATCGTACTGACATCTCGAGTAAAGATGAGCATCAAAACCTCATTTCTCGATGCTCTGAACATCATACCAGAGATTCCAGCTATGATCTCCAGGAAAGTTTGTTGAGTGGATGAATCTCGGCGAGCTAGAAGCCTGGATATCCAAAAGAAATAAAACGTCTGAAATGTGAATAACGTAATTATGACTCATGGTATGGAGGGTGACAGTCAAGAATCCCAAAACCCGAAACATAAATGTTGCTTCACCACAGAATATTCCAACTCCGCGGCCGAGACGGGACACTCGGGATCCCCGAGTCGGGATTATGGGTGGCGGGCCAGTCAGCCATAAGCACAGACATAATGCCTGTGTCTAATGATCGTCTGATGACACAATGGTTATGTTTGGAGCGGAATTGGAACAAAGGAAGAAAATGAGCATGAGCTAAATTCAGAACAGATCTCGATTCACGTCGGGATTAGTTGGGACTAAAGTGCGCCGATCTCTCCGACTACGCTTCCCGCCAGCGCACACCACAGAAAATTGATAGATTGTATACTGTAGGCCGGGAAGTCAACAGTTGCATAAACCGTTGTACAAGAAAGCATAGTACATGTATCGCGAAAAGCAGCGTAGGTCTCCCGGAACGGTGGAAAAGAGAGCGGCACGTGTTGCATTTTGCAACAACACCTTTACCCGGTACGCCCTGGGGCCGTATGCGGATCCTGATTCATGAATCTGAGTCCATGATTCAACTCACGCTCTGATCCTGATTCATGATTCAAGTCACACCTTGATTCGAGAGAACTGATTCAGATTCTTAGCTCAGGAGAAAGAGTCGAGATTTCTGAGTATGAGTACTTGAGACAGAGTCAGATTACGTAATCATGAGCAAGATCCTCGATCCTTGATTTTAATCAGCCGCTGAATCCGATTCCTGATCCTTACTCACGATTCAAGATTCAAATCTATACTCAATGGCTGATTCAGAGTTTTTGGTACTGAGTCAGAGTATTTCATCAACTCGAGATTAAATACTCAGAGTTGGGATTTTTACTCGTGATTCGAGGTTAATTCTCAGGAGTCGAGATTCTTTTACTCAACCTCAAAGCTGCTCAGATTCAAGATCGCAATCTCACCTTGAGCATGATCCGGGATCATACTCATGATGCACAAGCTCACAGTTTAACACGGGGATTAATCTTGATTCTGTACCGGGGGTCCGGACCCCCGCCGGGGGTCCCCCGGTACCAAACCCTGATTCTGATCCTCGACCTTGATTCACGACTTCAGCGCGCGCCACGGTAGACCTTCTCAGCTCCTTGCGAGTACTACTCGCCGAGTAGGTTTTTAGAATGACCGTACCGGGGGATACAACCTCGGCTTCGACCATTTGAAAGCATATCCTCAACCAGTTGAGTTGTGAGATTATATGATACAAGACGCTGCAAGGAGGTATAGCGCACGTAGTACATACAGGATATTAGTATGCCACTTCCCGGGACTAGAACCCCTACTTCGAGCACATGAAAGTATGAGGTCATACGAGGTCAAAACGGTGTATGGAGGTATAGCGCATCATGCGCTGCGCATGTAGTACATGCAACCACATGGTGTGAAGTTCACACTGTGAACTACGCATTCCTTAGTTCAATTAATTGTTCATAAAAACAATAAATGCCCATCGTCGATCCTCTTGAGGGATTGTCCGATAACGACACCCGATCACGCTACCGGTTATCAAAGGAAGCTCTAGCGCTGAGCTTCCTCTTAGAACTTCTGAGTTAGAAACCCAGAGTTAGTTGATTCCGAGTGAACATATTGTAAGGTTTGAAGTACGGATGTGTACAAGTGCGACAGAAGATCTTCTTCCAAAAACTTATCATTGCTGCAACGTAACGGGAAATGTGCATGCATTCGGGGCGAATCTCCCAGGTTCTACCCTCGTAGAGTGACGTTTTCTTCCTTTCTTGCCGCCCGTTCAATAAACCAATTCTGAAGCTCAGAATCGTTTCCAGAAACGATTTTCTTAAATCTTGTTCATAGAATCGATTCTGGAAACGATCCTGGAATCATTTCCAGAATCATTTTTCAACGAGTTCAAAAGCGTCCTCGCGCGTTTATGAAATCAGTTCCAGAACCGCGAGCTTCAGAATGGCCTGGAGTGGTTCTGAGCATTTCGTTGCGCGTGACTTTGCTGTCTACTTCGTAGATTCCACAAGGAATTTTTACTTCTCCACGAGGAGTTGCACTCCTTTTCCTTTCTTGAACCAGTTACAAAGAGAGCTTGAAACTCCCGAAGAGCTGACACTGCGTGAGGAGCTAACGCTCCCTAGACTGAGGAAAGGAAGCTGGTATTACAGATTGCTATTTACGAAGCAAGGCTGAAGAAACCAGGGGAGCCCATTCCCGTATTGTCAAGCCGTGCAGATGCTGTTTTAGATGAGCTTGCGGCCCGATTGCTGGGTTATCCTTAGTGTAGTTCCTGTTAGCCTATTGTCTTGGGAGCATAAGTTTTTTTTGAAACAATTAGATTGAGTGTAGTTAAGGCTGCTAGTAGCAGCCTATTACTATTTTACCTCTTCTCGTATGTTGCTTGTAATAGTAAGTGGTTCATTGATTGTAGTGTCAGTATTTGCAATGTGAAGGATGAATGATGTGGTTCTATTGTCGTGTGTAAGATAATTTTTGGCGGTATGCAACTTGTTTTGTTAACCACGAAACAAATCTTGAGAATGAAAGCACGCTGTCGTAGACCGCGGGTTCGATCCCTGGGGTTAGCAGTATTCGTGTATTTACATCACGATTTTGGAAGCGTTCCCGGAAGCGATTTCTAAAATTGCGTTTGTTGAGCACTTGTCAGAATCGTTTCTGGGATCGCTTCCAGAATCGCTTGTGGATTTTCAAAATCGTGTTTATTGAACATCATCTCAGAAGCGTTTTTTAAAATCGATTCTCAGCAACGTTTCCAGAATTGCGCGTAGCCTTGTCTATTGAACGGGCGGTTGAAATTGTCACTTTCGGTTGTGGGGCGCAGCGACTATAATCTTCTGTCGCATAACTCTCCGCCGGTGTTGAGGAACTCCTCGCCGACATGCGGTGACCAATAATACGACACTAAGCCAAGATGGCTACGGAACCTCAATACTAGAGACTTACAGCGAGAAACGTAGGTTCTAAGAACCATACGATTCGCTATATAAGGAAAAGCGCACGCCCAATAATGCTACATGCTTCACGATCTCAATACTCTAGTAAATACGTCAAAATACGTCACAATCTCATCCCCTCAGGTGGCGACATCTCAAGGAGTCACCTCATCTAAGCTCTCTTCTAGTAGGATGTTTGTGACCTCATCCACTTTGATCTTCTTGACATCCCTTGGGGACAATCTCACAAAGGCTGCGACATTACCGATAGCTGATAGCTTACCATCGGGACCAATCCATAGTGGTAGAAGTCGTTCGTCCAGTAGACGGTACTCGTGGACCATATACTGACCGTTACCTGTCCAACGCTCAATCTTACCGTAATGAGTCTTAGAATCTTGTGGATCTTTCCACAATATAAATTTAGTGTGCCTCAGTGAACGTGTAGACAGAGTAGGCTCTCCAGAAAGCTCATCGTCAGTGATCTTGGGGTTATCGTCGTCATTATAAACTCCATTAGGAAGAAAGGCCTCCAGGTGATCAGCACTGTAGAGCTGGGAACGGTTACCATTAAACTTGACTTCATAACAACGGGAACCGACCCTGCGTATAATCTCACCTTCCCGCCACATACGGTCGAGTTTGTGGCTCGGTTGCGTCCATACCAAAACCTTATCTCCCACATCGAACTCGTTCGGTTCGTTAGCCTGCTGCGGCTTACACTCTTGCCAAAGCTGCCTCCAGTCCTCCATAATCCTTTCCCTCCTCTGCCGTAGCTTATCACAAGCAGATCTTATAGCACGTTTATGCTTCTTATTAGGGTGCGCGATGAGTTTTTCAATAGCATCATCGTTCACCGGAGCTGTACTATTATGCGAAGAAGCCCATCGTGCTAAGGGAGATTGGAGTGGGAAACCATAAACAGCTTCATGAGGACTGACGCCCAGAACTGGATCGATAGTACTATTGACTCGAGCTTGAGCGAAGGCTAAGGCTTAATGTAGGGTAACATGACGGTTCTCATCCAGAACTGCTCGTAGAGCCATATTCACCACGGCATGGCCTCTCTCATAGAAGCCACCACTCGCTGCGTGATATACTGGAATACAGACATGTCTCACATGATTTAGTGATAATAGGCTGCTGAAGTCGAGACTCTTCACGAACTGTATTCCATTGTCAGAAATAACCGTTCGAGGGCATGAATACTTTAGAAGGAATTCAGCCTCGAATACCCTACAAAGCTCGCTAGCGGATATCTTCGTCATCAAAAAGAAAAGGCAAAATTTTATCAGCAAACATGTAATAGACATGATATACCTCTCATTACGTTTAGCAACAATGAGTGGACCTAACAAATCCACTCCGATTTGTTACCTGACCCCTTAGGTAAATATTCATTTGATACTTGCCTAATACTCACCCAATATCCACCTAATATTTACCTCATATTCACCTAAAATTTTCTTAATATTCACCTAGTATTTGCCCAGTATTCAACTAATATATACCTCATATCCGTCTAAAATTTACTCAGTACTAACCTACTACTCACTTAATATTTGCCCAATACTTGATATTCACCTAATATTTGTTTAGCATTTACCTAATATTCATCCAAAATTTACCTGAAGTTTACCTAACATTTACTCAACTTGATATTTACCTAATATTCACTTCATACTCACCTAGTATTTGCCTAATATTCACCTGATATTAACCTGATATTTACCTAATATTCACCTAATATTTACCTGATATTCACCTAATATTTACCTAATATTTACTTAATATTTATTCAAAATTTACCTAATAATTACTTGATATTTACTCCAAATTTACTAAAATTTACCTGAAATATTTACGTAATATTTACTTAATATTCACGTAACATTTACTTTATATTTACCTAATATTTCCCCAATATTTACTTGAAATTGACTCGATATTTACTTGATATTTACCTAACATTTACCTAATATTTACTTAAAATTTACTTGAAAACTACTTGATATTCACTTGATATTCACTTAATATCTACCTAAGATTCACTCAATATTAACCTGATACTTGATACCTATTTAATATTTGCCTGATATCTACCTGATATCTACCCAATATTTACTTAATTTTCACCTTATACTAACCTAGTATTCAGCTAATATTTACCTAATATTTACCTGATATTTGCTTGATATTTAATCAAAATTTACCTAATATGTACTCAATATTTACCTAAAATTTACTTGACATTTATTCAACTTAATATTGACCTGAAATATCCACCTAATATTTACTCAATATTCACGTAGCATTTACTTTATATGTACTTGATATTTGCCTAATATTTACCTAACATTCACCTAATATTTACTTAAAATTTAATTGAAATTTAATTGATATTTACTTGATATTCACTTACTATCTACCTAAGATTTACTCAATACTAACCTAATACTTGATACGTATTTAATATTTAACTAATATTCACCTAATATTTACGTAACATTCACTTGATATCTACCTAATATTTACCTGATATTCACCTAATATTTACCTAATATTTACTTAATATTCACTCAAAATTTACCTAATAATATTAACCTAGTATCTTCTAATCAGCTAATATTTATCTTATATTTTTCTAATATTTACCTAATATTTACCTGATACTTACCTGATATTTGCTTAATATTTAATCAAAATTTACTGGATATGTAATCAATATTCACCTAAAATTTACTTGGCATTTACTTAGCTTAATATTAACCTGAAATATTTACCTAATATTTACTCAATATTCGCGTAACATTTACTCTTTATTTACCTAATATTTACCCAATATTTTTCAATATTTACTTGAAATTCACTTGATATTCGCTTGATATTCACTTTATATTTACTTAAAATTTACTTAAAATTTACTGGATATTTACCTAACATTAACCCAATATTTTCCAATATTTACTCGAAATTTACTTGATATTTACTTGATGTTCACTTTAAATTTACTTGATATTTAACTAATATTTACCTGATATTTACCTATCATTTACTTAATATTCACATAACATTCACTTAATATTCATCTAATATTGACCCAATATTTTCTAATATTTACTTGATATTTACTTTATATTTACTCGATATTTACCTAATATTCACCTAACATTTACCCAATATTTACTTAAAATTTACTTAAAATTTACTGGATATTTACTTGATATTCACTTAATATCTACCTAAGATTTACTCGATACTAACCTTATACTTGATACCTATTTAATATTTAACTAATATTCAACTAATATTTACGTAACATTTACTTGAAGTTTGACTAATATTTACCTGATATTTACCTAATATTTACTTAATATTCACATAACATTTACTTAATATTCACCTAATATTTACCCAATATTTACCTAATATTCACTTGAAATTTACTTAGTATTTACTTTATATTAAAATTTACTTAAAATTTACTTGAAATTTACTTAAAAATTCACTTAAAATTTACTTAAAAATTTACTTAAAAATTACTTAAATATTTACTTAAATATTTACTTAAATATTTACTTAAATATTTACTTAAATATTCACTTAATATTTACTTAATATTTACTTAATATTTACTTAATATTTACTTAATATTTACTTAATATTTACTTCATATTTACTTAGTATTCACTTGATATTTACTCGATATTTACTTGATATTTACTTAATATTCACTTAATATTTACTTGATATTCACTTGATATTCACTTAATATTCACTTAATATCTACTTAAGATATACTCAATACTAACCTAACACTTGATACCTATTCAGTATTTAACTAATATTCACCTAATATTTACGTAACATTAACTTGAGATTCACCTAATATTTACCCGATACCCATCTAATATCTACCTAATATTCACTTGATATTTACTCAAAATTCACCCAATAATTACTTGATATTTTTTCAAAATTCGAGAGAAGTATGTCCTGAAGAATTCCAACGATGAAGTTGTGTTCATCCGTGAGCAGTTTCCGTCGATGTTTGCACTGCCAGCTTGGCAGCATCCGTTACTGCTCACCGGGTGGTCGGTCTCACATTTTCGGGAGCGTGGGTACAACTTCCTTTTAAGGCACCACCTAACAGGAGAGATGTTTATGTCGTAGGGTACTGAGAACACGGATGGCTATACTAACCCTGTTATATACTGCATGAGAAGACCTCGACTTCGTGCGTGAATTGAGGGCCCCGACGGTGACTCGGCCATACTGTGTGACTTCTTCGATGAAATCGATGAGAACCTTAACATGCGACACGATGTGTCACAGTCTGTTGGCCTGCGAGAAGAGAGCCGTCTTCTCGATCTTCTGACGCAGGTAACAGCACGATACTCAACACCACATCAGTGGTCAAGTGCCTCTTCAGATGCTACTCAACACCTATTGCTACTCAATGATACTCAACACCACATCAAGTGCCTCGTAAAATGCTGACCGGGCCGACCATTTGGCTTGTTCGCCCTTTCCACGGCACGATGCTAGGAAAGACGCTTCACCGAACCTTGATGGGGGAACTTCTGAAGTTGGTTGTCCATGCGAGGATCCGCTAGGAGAAGCTACCGGAGACTTTACACCATAACATTCTCCTTTGTCGCTTGAAGCTTCTCATGGTAGTGACGATGATGACAGCGCCAGTAGTAGCTCTCAGGGAGCAGAAATGGCTCACTTCAAGTGTTGCTGGGGAAACTGTGGGCGAGTCGCTTGGCGGACTCACGAATGGAAGATTTGAGCAGAAGCCATTCCTTGTATGCCATGGAGCCATTGCCGAAGACTTCGGCCCGAAGTGGTTTCAGATTTTCTGGCAGCCACTCCGACTGCCGGCTGAGACTCAGCCGCTGAGAATGAGCGCTATAGAATAACGAGGAATATTCTCAAACGGTTGGGCACTCCAGGAGGTGGAAGTAGCTGTGTGCTGAAATTTCACCGAACGACTTTATACCCCAATGTGGACGAACCTGTGATACGATCAAGCCGGCCAGATCAGAGGACTTGGCCTGAATATACGTGCCCATTATCAGAGGTGCTTGCCAAGACTACGAACGGCTCTTGCGCGTTCTACGGATCACTCTCAGCATGTGCCACAGCGCAAGAATGGCGACGCCATGCACATGTGACATGTCCTAGGAAGCACCGACTGCCGATCTTCATATATCCCCCCCCACGAATAGTTGATCATATATTGGTACTTCTACAAGAGGATGTGATGCGTCCTAATGATGATCTACTTTAACAAGTTCATGAAAGACATCTTTTCGGAGGATATGATGCGGCGACCACATGCATTATAACCTGGGTGAAGGGTTTGACGAAAACGTTGATTCATAACATACAACTCGGCAACACGAATTTCGGCAGGCGTTACGAACATCTAACGTCGCGTTAGCTAAGACTGTGTTCGAGGTAGTGAACTAGGACGCCATTCGAATTCAACCCTGGGGCAAGCCCTGCATTGCAAGGGTTGGTGCGAAGATAAGGGCTGACAAGTTGACAGCCTTCACCAGTCAGCTCCCACCACACATTTTCGGGCAACATTCGGAACGGGCACAGGACAGTGTTCCTAAAAGCATCAGCTGATGCAATGAGTCTTCTGCACGCCTCGACAGGGTGAGCGAGGCTGCGAATGAATCCCCTGGCATTCTTAGACATGCGCAAGCTCATCTTGGCACGAGCATGCTCTGTGTCGATGACTGACTGTTGGATCCAATTATCTTCAGAGGGCTAGTGGTAGGAGCGTAACTCGTTGCTTGTTATGTCCCAGTTAGTTGGCGGCTTGAGTCTTATGTCTTCGATGGACTTGTTGCAGTCCCACGCCTCGCTAAGGAGGATGAGGTAGCGACTTGAGCTCGTTTCCGCACGAGATGTTCAGGAGGCCTTCGATTCTCCATGCTCGAACGGCTGGTAGACACTACTGGTTAATGCAGCGAGGGAACGAGTCATGGATGACATCGTCGGCCTTCTGTTGGGCCCGTCGCCTCGCAAAGGGCGGCGGAGTTCCCAGCGACGAAAGATTTCTAAGTACATCTCTAGGTGTTTTCTGCAATATAAAGCCACAAAGCATCAATTGCGATGGCTTCCGACCTTCCAACTTGTCCTCCGAGTGGATGACGCAAAAGAGGGCCGGAATTCGGCCTTCTACCATCCACTGGTAGAGGTGCGCGGAGTTCTTCATTTTACGAGAAAACGCCTCCGTGGAGCCAGCGAAAAAGCCAGTATGAACTGCCAACCTCCCATCGAAGTCCTCCTAGTAGTGAGTACAAAGAGCGGCGCCTCTGATGAGCGGGTGGGCGGAGTATTTACAAGTTCATCTCATCCAATTTCTTAAGTCCTTGCAGCAATGATGGCAAGTTAAAGGGGTGCAAAAATTCCCTCTAAACCACGGCAGATGGAATTTAGACGGTAGGTTTTAATGCCAAGGGGGAGGAGGTTCTGGTCTGGGGAAACAAAGACAGTGTCTTTGTTTGCACACAGAGTGTGCAGTTTAGGGTCCCTAAATTAGGGACGAGTCGCAGCTGAGGTTCTTGTAGCAGCTAGTCCCGACGAGCATTCTATTGCTACTAGCAGTCTGCTAGTCCCTTACCGACGAGTCGCAGCTGAGGTTCTCATAGAGACGAGAAACGATGCTAGTCAATCAGGGACGAGTCGCATCTGAGGTTTTGATAGGGACGAGAAACGATGCTAGTCAATTAAGGACGAGTCGCAGCTGAGGTTTTGATAGGGACGAGGAACGATGCTAGTCCATTAGAGACGAGTTGCAGCTTAGGTTTTTATGGGGACGAAAAACAATGCAAGTCTTTCAGAGACGAGTGGCAGCTGAGGTCCTCATAGGGACGAGAAATACTGTTAGTCCCTTAGGAACGAGTCGCAGCCGAGATTCTCGTATATCAGCTAGTCCCGACGAGCGTTATACTGCTAGTCCATTAAGGACGAGTTGCAGCTGAGGTTCTCGTAGGAACGAGAAACGATGCTAGTGCATTAGAGACGAGTTGCAGCTTAGGTTCTCATAGGGACGAGAAATACTGTTAGTCTATTAGGGACGAGTCGCAGCTGCGGTTCTCATAGGGACGAGAAACACTCTACTGCTAGTCCCTTAGAAACGAGTCGCAGCTAAGGTTCTCGTATCAGCTAGTCCTGACGAGCATTCTACTGCTAGTCCATTAGGGACGAGTCGCAACTGAGGTTCTTGCGCACATAATCAGCCGGGGTGGCAAGCATCGGAAAACCCCGGGAAATTCTACCGCAAATCCTATCCCATTCTACCATAATTCTACCTAATATTTAATATTTAAATAATATTCACGTAACATTCACTTGATATTTACCTAGTATTTACCTGATATTCACCTAATATTTACCTTATATTTACCTAATATTCACTTGAAATTTACTTGGTATTTGCTTTATATTTAATATTCGATATTTACCTGATATTTACCTAATATTTACCTACTATTTACTTAATATTTACTCAAAATTTACCTAATAATTACTTAATATTTACCTGATATATATCTAATATTTACCTGATATTTGCTCAATATTCAATCAATCTGATTAAATCAAAATTTACCAAATATGTACTCAATGTTTACCTAAAATCTACTTGACATTTACTTAACTTAATATTAACCTGAAATATTCATCTAATATTTACTTAAAATTCGCGTAACATTTACTTTATATTTACCTAATATTAACCCAATATTTTCCAATATTCACTCGAAATTTACTTGATATTTACTTGATGTTCACTTTATAGTTAATTGATATTTACCTCATATTTACTTAAAACTTACTTTAAATTTACTTCATATTTACTTAATATTCACTTAATATTTACTTAATATTTACTTAATATTCACTTGATATTTACTTGATATTTACTTGATATTTACTTCATATTTACTTCATATTTACTTCATATTTTCTTGATATGTACTTCATATTTTCTTGATATTTACTTAATATTTACTTAATATTTACTTAATATTTACTTAATATTTAGTTAATATTTACTTAATATTTACTTAACATTTACTTAATATTCACTTATATTCACTTAATATCTACTTAAGATATACTCAATACTAACCTAACACTTGATACCTATTCAGTATTCAACTAATATTCACCTAATATTTACGTAACATTAACTTGAGATTCACCTAATATTTACCCGATACCCATCTAATATCTACCTAATATTTACTTGATATTTTTTCAAAATTTGAGAGAAGTATGTCTTGAAGATATTTACCTAATATTTACTTATTATTTACTCAAAATTTACCTAATAATTACTTAATATTTACCTGAAATTTACCTAACATTTACTCAACGTAATATTTACCTGATATATATCTAATATTTACCTGATATTTGCTCAATATTCAATCAATTTGATTAAATCAAAATTTACCAAATATGTACTCAATGTTTACCTAAAATCTACTTGACATTTACTTAACTTAATATTAACCTGAAATATTTATCTAATATTTACTTACAATTCGCGTAACATTTACTTTATATTTACCTAATATTAACCCAATATTTTCCAATATTCACTCGAAATTTACTTGATATTTACTTGATGTTCACTTTATAGTTAATTGATATTTACCTAATATTTACTTCAAATTTACTTAATATTCACTTAATATTTACTTAATATTTACTTAATATTTACTTAATATTTACTTAATATTTACTTAATATTTACTTAATATTTACTTAATATTCACTTAATATTTACTTAATATTTACTTAATATTCACTTGATATTTACTTGATATTTACTTCATATTTACTTGATATTTACTTGATATTTACTTGATATTTACTTGATATTTACGTGATATTTACTTGATATTTACTTGATATTTACTTGATATTTTCTCGATATTTACTTAATATTTACTTAATATTTACTTAATATTTACTTAATATTTACTTAATATTTACTTAATATTTACTTAATATTTACTTAACATTTACTTAATATTCACTTAATATTCACTTAATATTCACTTAATATCTACTTAAGATATACTCAATACTAACCTAACACTTGAATCAAGTGACTTGATACCTATTCAGTATTCAACTAATATTCACCTAATATTTACGTAACATTAACTTGAGATTCACCTAATATTTACCCGATACCCATCTAATATCTACCTAATATTTACTTGATATTTTTTCAAAATTCGAGAGAAGTATGTCTTGAAGAATTCCATCGATGAAGTTGTGTTCATCCATGAGCAGTTTCCGTCGATGTTTGCACTGCCAGCTTGGCAGCATCCGTTACTGCTCACCGGGTGGTCGGTCTCACATTTTCGGGAGCGTGGGTACAACTTCCTTTTAAGGCACCACCTAACAGGAGAGATGTTGATGTCGTAGGGTACTGAGAACACGGATGGCTATACTAACCCTGTTATATACTGCATGAGAAGACCTCGACTTCGTGCGTGAATTGAGGGCCCCGACGGTGACTCGGCCATACTGTGTGACTTCTTCGATGAAATCGATGAGAACCTTAACATGCGACACGATGTGTCACAGTCTGTAACAGACTGCCTGTTGGCCTGCGAGAAGAGAGACGTCTTCTCGATCTTCTGACGCAGGTAACAGCACGATACTCAACACCACATCAGTGTTCAAGTGCATCTTCAGATGCTACTCAACACCTATTGCTACTCAATGATACTCAACACCACATCAAGTGCCTCGTAAAATGCTGACCGGGCCGACCATTTGGCTTGTTCGCCCTTTCCACGGCACGATGCTAGGAAAGACGCTTCACCGAACCTTGGTGGGGGAACTTCTGAAGTTGGTTGTCCATGCGAGGATCCGCTAGGAGAAGCTACCGGAGACTTTACACCACAACATTCTCCTTTGTCGCTTGAAGCTTCTCATGGTAGTGACGATGATGACAGCGCCAGTAGTAGCTCTCAGGGAGCAGAAATGGCTCACTTCAAGTGTTGCTGGGAAACTGTGGGCGAGTCGCTTGGCGGACTCACGAATGGAAGATTTGAGCAGAAGCCATTCCTTGTATGCCGTGGAGCCATTGCCGAAGACTTCGGCCCGAAGTGGTTTCAGATTTTCTGGCAGCCACTCTGACTGCCGGCTGAGACTCAGCCGCTGAGAATGAGCGCTATAAAATAACGAGGATTATTCTCAAACGGTTGGGCACTCCAGGAGGTGGAAGTAGCTGTGTGCTGAAATGCCGCCGAACGACTTTATACCGCAATGTGGTCCACATTATGTGGACGAACCTGTGATACGATCAAGCCGGCCAGATCAGAGGACTTGGCCTGAATATACGTGCCCATTATGAGAGGTGCTTGCCAAGGCTACGAACGGCTCTTGCGCGTTCTACGGATCACTCTCAGCATGTGCCACAGCGCAAGAATGGCGACGCCATGCACATGTGACATGTCCTAGGAAGCACCGACTGCCGATCTTCATGTATCCCCCCCACGAATAGTTGATCATATATTGGTACTTCTACAAGAGGATGTGATGCGTCCTAATGATGATCTACTTTAACAAATTCATGAAAGACATCTTTTCGGAGGATATGATGCGGCGACCACATGCATTATAACCTGGGTGAAGGGGTTGACGAAAACATTGATTCATAACATACAACTCGGGCAACACGAATTTCGGCAGGCGTTACGAACATCTAACGTCGCGTTAGCTAAGACTGTGTTCGAGGCAGTGAACTAGGACGCCATTCGAATTCAACCCTGGGGCAAGCCCTGCATTGCAAGGGTTGGTGCGAAGATAAGGGCTGACAAGTTGACAGCCTTCACCAGTCAGCTCCCACCACACATTTTCGGGCAACATTCGGAACGGGCACAGGACAGTGTTCCTAAAAGCATCAGCTGATGCAATGAGTCTTCTGCACGCCTCGACAGGATGAGCGAGGCTGCGAATGAATCCCCTGGTATTCTTAGACATGCGCAAGCTCATATTGGCACGAGCATGCTCTGTGTCGATGACTGACTGTTGGATCCAATTATCTTCAGAGGGCTAGTGATAGGAGCGTAACTCGTTGCTTTTTATGTCCCAGTTAGTTGGCGGCTTGAGTCTTATGTCTTCGATGGACTTGTTGCAGTCCCACGCCTCGCTAAGGAGGATGAGGTAGCGACTTGAGCTCGTTTCCGCAGGAGATGTTCAGGAGGCCTTCGATTCTCCATGCTCGAACGGCTGGTAGACACTACTGGTTATTGCAGCGAGGGAACGAGTCATGAATGACATCGTCGGCCTTCCGTTGGGCCCGTCGCCTCGCAAAGGGCGGCGGAGTTCCCAGCGACGAAAGATTTCTAAGTACATCTCTAGGTGTTTTCTGCAATATAAAGCCACAAAGCATCAATTGCGATGGGTTCCGACCTTCCAACTTGTCCTCCGAGTGGATGACGCAGAAGAGGGCCGGAATTCGGCCTTCTACCATCCACTGGTAGAGGTGCGCGGAGTTCTTCATTTTACGAGAAAACGCCTCCGTGGAGCCAGCGAAAAAGCCAGTATGAACTGCCAACCTCCCATCGAAGTCCTCCTAGTAGTGAGTACAAAGAGCGGCGCCTCTGATGAGCGGGTGGGCGGAGTGTTTACAAGTTCATCTCATCCAATTTCTTAAGTCCTTGCAGCAATGATGGCAAGTTAGAGGGGTGCAGAAATTCCCTCTAAACCACGGCAGATGGGATTTAGACGGTAGGTTCTAATGCCAAGGGAGAGGAGGTTCTGGTCTGGGGAAACAAAGACAGTGTCTTTATTTGCACACAGAGTGTGCAGTTTAGGGTCCCTAAATTAGGGACGAGTCGCAGCTGAGGTTCTCATAGGAACGAGAAACGGTGCTAGTCAATTAGGGACGAGTCGCAGCTGAGGTTTTGATAGGGACGAGAAACGATGCTAGTCCATTAGAGACGAGTTGCAGCTTAGGTTTTTATGGGGACGAAAAACAATGCAAGTCTTTCAGAGACGAGTGGCAGCTGAGGTTCTCATAGAGACGAGAAATACTGTCAGTCCATTAGGGACGAGTGGCCGCTGAGGTCTCCGTAGCAGCTAGTCGCGGCGAGCATTCTACTGCTAGTCTATTAGGGACGAATCGCAGCTGAGGTTCTTGCGCACATAATCAGCGGGGTCGCAAGCATCGGAAAACCCCGAGAAATTCTACCACAAATCCTTATGACAACTCTCCAAGACCTAACCGAACGCCATTTTTTACAGTGAGCTAACTTCTTATAAGGACGAGGAACAGGCCACTGTTAGTCCATTAGGGACGAGTCGCAGCTGAGGCTCTCGTAGGAACGAGAAACGATGCTAGTCCATTAGAGACGAGTCGCAGCTTAGATTCTGCGAGTCTTTCGGAGACGAGTGGCAGCTGACGTCCTCATAGGGACGATAAATACTGGTAGTCCCTTAGGAACGAGTCGCAGCCGAGATTCTCGTATATCAGCTAGTCCCGACGAGCGTTATACTGCTAGTCCAT